CTGTTTTGCTAGCTGTTTTAGAGCACTTTAGCTAGATCTTAAATTTTCCTCATCAGTAAATTTATAGCATTTTGATAGGACCTTGACTCTCCACCCTCACTCTAATGTAATGTAAGCTATAGGAAACTTACAATCTTCGTAACCTAGCACGTGGGGTTCCAGATGTTCACAGTCAACAAATTAGTTTATAAAATGTCAAGGGAGATGAAGCCTGGGGCAAACCTCCCTGATACATAACTATTTTGGTTTCCACACCAAAAGGAAGTGTTAGGACTGAAAAGGACTGAACAAGATGCTTAGTGAAAATTTTCTTTCCCAAGAAGTCATTCATGAATCCTTCTCTGAGGTGGCAGAGACCATGAGCAAATACTGCTTTTGAAGAATCTCTGAGCCAGTCAGCACTCTGGTTCATGAGTCCTTAAGGGACCAGAACTTTCACAGGAAATCTATCTGGTCCTAGTAACAATAAGAAGAAATCATTATTGCACTGCTCAAAAAACATAAGAGTGATATTTGGAATGGGGGCACGTAACTTCTTCACATGCCTTCAGTGTAGGTCACTGAGATCACGTGTTTGGGCCTCTGACCCAACTTACCTATAAAGCATTTTAGCTCTTCAATTAAAATATGTTCCAACCATGGATCTCCAAACCCTAGTCTGTAGTTCGGAATACCCTGAGGGGTCCCATCAAGTCTTCTCGGGTCCTGCCCTGAAATGACTGCTGCCCCCTGAACTCCAGTGGCTGTACCTCATTCTTTGGTTGCAAGCTCACTGAATATCCAGGTACACTCAGAGAAGCCCATAATTGGGATAACGTTCTTGCAGGGACCACTGGAGCATGGTGCTGCTCACAGGGGACAATCCTCTCATCACCTCAGTGAGCCAGCATTCCTGATTCTTATCAGCCATGGATTTTTCTGATGCTTACTAATCTGAGAAGCAAATATCCCATTATTGCTTATGGTCATATGCCATAGTTCTATCTACAGAACACCAGGTCAGGAAGAGAATTACAACTTGATCAAGAACAGAAAAAAATATGTGTATCTATACACGTACATAATATACACGCACACATACATGTTATTGAAAGCAAAGAAGGAAAAAGGAAGAAAATCTAAGAAGGTAGAAGGAGGTACGAAAAATTAGGTAAAATTGCAAAACAACTTAAGTGGAGTTGGTATGTCAGGGTAACATTTCACTTAATGTGGCTGAGAACAGTCAAAGAAAGAAGAAAAAAGGAAGAAAATCTAAGAAGGTAGAAGTAGGCACGAAAAATTAGGTGAAAGTGCAAAACAACTTAAGTGGAGTTGGTATGTCAGGGTAGCACTTCACTTAATGTGGCCAAGAACAGATTACCTTATTTCTCAAGTGCATATATTTAAATCTTATGAGAGATATCCGTAGTAATAAGAATAGGAGACATGGTCAATACAATAATGTCCCCCCTCCCACCACTGAAGCACGTGAAGACTAGAAAATAAAAGCACATTGATTTCTTGAGAGAGTGAGGGGTCCCTGGAGACCCTCTGGCAGAGTGTCATGAGGAAGAGGAAGAACAGAGGTTAGCTATCAAGACCCATGGGTTGTCAGGAAACAAAGAGTAAAAATATGAGAGTATGGTAAATATAGTACCCTGATGCTTTATTTTCTTTTCTCTTTATGTTGCAAAATAGGAATTCATTTTTCTGTAGACTGGGGGAATGGAACAAGTTGACAGGGAGAAACTGAGTGAGCAAGAAAAAGAGAATTACTAATCAAACAAATTCCCAGGGCGGGGTGGGGGTGGGAGAGGAAAGTCACAAGTAGAAAGCTCAAAGTTAGAGGAGTTTGTTGTCTTATTTAAGGAAAAACAATAGTCTTTTTTGTTTGTTTGTTTTTTCTTGAGTCAGTCATACTCTGTTGCCCTAGGCGGAATGCAGTGGCACAATTTATGGCTCACAAGCCTAGAATTCCTGGGCTCAAGCGATCCTCCTGCATTAGCCTCAACAGTAGCTGGGACGACAGGCAGGTGCCACCACACCCAGCTAATTTTTAAAAAATGTTTTGTAGAGACGAGGTCTCATTATGTTACCCAGGCTAGCCTTGAACTCCTGAGCTCAAGTGATCCTCCTGCCTCAGTCTCCCAAAGTGCTGAGAGGAATGGCATGAGCCACCGCAGCCAGCCACAAAAAAGCAATAGTTTTAAAAGGTCAATTATCTATAGATCATAAAGACAGTTTCATGCATGGTGTCAGTTTCATTTTCTTCAGCAGTAGCTTATAATGATAGGATCATGAACAGTGTCAATATAAATGTTTCCAAAGTGTCTTTATCAATAAAAGAGGCTTCCAAAAACAAGATATAGTATACTCTCTTTTCTTTAAGGAAATAAAAGTTCCCTGGGATTAGCTTTTAATATTCCTCTCTCCCGTTCAAAAGTTTTCTGGCAGTCAAAATAGACAAATGTTCTTCTGAGTGGTCACTGCACTTCTAAAAAATTCTTTTCAGTATTACTTAGTAGATGATTTTACTAGATAAAATTGGCTGCCTCAAGGTGCCACATTTCAAACAGAGGCTGATTTTCCATTGATTAGCAATCGTTTTACTTTTTGCTGTTGTATCATTAGAGACTCTCTTGACAGTTTCAAGTTGTTAAAATGCTGCATTTTCCCCTCATTCTTTTGCTTCATAAATCACCACATCAATTGTTCATTTAGGCAGGATAATAGTGCCAGAAAAAGGTCACCAAGCATTACACCACAATTATTATTACCCAGAAAGAAATCAATCTTACAATTTTAGAAAAATAAATATAAAAAGACTATCTTGTTCTAATCAAAGTGTAAATCTACTTATGCATCCAGCCTCTTGTAAAACTGGGTTTAAAACACTCCTGAAGCATTTTTCAAATTCAATTTTTAGGGCACACTAGCTATGCTGAATATGAAAATATATTTTATATTTCTGTGGGTCCTTTTATTTCAGCATTTCAAAGATATTTAATTTATTTAATGTGTCATTACATTGTAAAGTCATTAAACCAAGACAGCCAACAAAGTAAATCATAGGAAGTTTAAGTGAGTTTTTCATCTAATGCAATCACTTTGTTTAATATCTGTGAATAGAATTTAAGACAGATGCCTGCAAATTCTAAATCACTGTCAATGTAGCATGTCTGGGAAATTTTAAAAACTGAAGTATGCATCATAGAACTATAAAGGGGGTAATTCTGTCACAAAATAAAAATAAGTGATATATTATTTTTCATGAGAGAATTTCAAATATCATTAAGTACTCTCTAGGTTTGCTGATGTCAGAAATTATAGAATATCAATAGCAGGTTAATTACCTTATAACCTGTAAATTCAATACTACTTTACTAGCATTACTATGAGTACTGAAAGTACTGAATTAATTAATTAATTGCATTTACTAAATGACAATGCTAGGATACACACCAAATAGAATTACTGTTTCTGGATTGGAATTCAAACAGCTTCATGCATTGATTTTTTTACTCTGAAAAGTAAAATTTTAAACATAGCATAAGGCTTTATTCACATTGCTCAAGAACCACTATACATTGAATAATACTATATTGCTGGATTAATCTACTTGGCTAATATATAATTGCTTCATGAACATATAATATGCTTAGTTAATATAAGCAATAAAAATAGTTAATATATAAATATAAAATTGATAAATATAATTAAATAATGAATTACTTAATATACTATGTTTTTGAAATTTTCTTTTCTTCTTTTTAAAATAGGGACAGGGTTTTGCTATGCTGCTCAGGCTAGTCTTGAACTCCTGGCCTCAAGTGATCCTCCAACCTCAGTCTCCCAAACTGCTGGGAATACAGACGTGAGCCATTATGCCCAGCTCACCATGTATTTTTATACCAAAAAAAATTTTTCCGGGCAACCCCTTCAGGTCCCCTCCCACTGTGGGAGCTTTTCTGTCCTCTCAATAAATCCTGCGTTCAAAAAAACAAAAAAATATCAACTGTTTCAAATATACCATGTTTCATTTAAAAAACCATTTTTGACAGTTATATTTATGTTAACCTTCCAAAACCTTGTTTTTCAACATGAGAAGCTACCACTATCGTAAAAGAAAACTATTGAGCATTCAACATGTTGACATACTTCACTAATAGATTTCCTCCACATGGCTTCAAGTCTGAGTTTATGATGACAAAGCCTTTTGCAATGCTACAGTGATGCTTGATTGTTAAATTAACCTGATTAAAAGCTCCTTTTAATGCAAATGATCTGGAATCAAGACAAAAAGGTAAGCTGGCGTTGTCACACTTGGACAGAAGGTGCAGCAGCAGCTGTAGGGTCTGGCCTGTCCGTCGTGGGTGTTGTCCCCATGCTTAATACTTCCACGCTCTGGCCATCTCTTCACTTAGGTTTTGTGTACTTTTTTTTTTGAGTTGGATTCTCACTCTTTCACCCAGACTGGAGTGCAGTGGCCGCTCCCAGCCACCGCAGCCTCGACCTGCTGGGCTCCAGCGATCCTTCCGCCTCAGCCTTCCAAGTAGCTGGAACTACAGGCGCGCGCTACCACACCGGGCTAATTTTTTTTTTTATTGTAGAGATGAGGTCTTGCCAAGTTGCCCAGGCAGGTCTCGAACCCGCAGGCTCAGGCAATCCACTCACCTCAGCCTCCCAAGGCGCAGGATTACAGGCTGAATCACCGAGCCTGGCTTTGTGTACTTTTTGATTATAAAAGAATTTATGAATATAATGATGTAATCGTGTCAAAATCTGACTACATGATCCGTCCGTTCTTAACTTATCTTAATAAGCATCATTTTATAAAATAATTCTGTATTTGAAATTGTAATTTTTTATTGGTTTATTGATGAGTCAGCTTGTGTTCCAATGCATATCTTTAAGATCAATGTGGCATTATAATGTTTTAATATCTGAATACATGACCTGCTCATTTTCTTTTCCTTAAAATATGGGCTCATTCATTTTCAACTCCAGGAAAACCAATATCATCACTCTATCAAATCCCAAAGGAACCCCCCTGTAATTTTCATTGGGAGTGCCTGAACATTATAAAAACTGATAGGATCTAGGATCGATAGTTCTCCTACTCAGAATTATGATATCATTTACCAAAGAGTAAAACCTGCTCCTTAAAAGCAATCTACTTTTCTTTTTCAGTTCTTATGCATCTATATCAGAATTATTTCTAGCACATATAGGAAAATTAAATTAAGCAAAAAAATAAAGCTACCAAATAATTTGTACTGCTTATTTTTTGAAAGTATCTCTTTTCTCATTATTCTACTTTTTTTGACAATATGGAAAACTAGTGACTTTTGTTTGTTTATACAGAATAAACATTATTTTGAGTTCTTATTATTTTCCATGAATTTTCAGGTGTTCACTGAAATTCTGTGAATACAATTATATATTATTCACTCCCAATTTCTGTGGTAAATGGTTTAAATTTATTATCATATTTAATCCTCAGGAAATAGTTTAGGAAGCAGTATACAGTCTGATAGATCTACATTTGGAGTTTTTCATGTATATGTACATATTTTAACTAACTGTAAAAATAAGGCAAAGAGGAGAGACCCCTGTGAAAACCGCAGAGAACTGTCTAAATATAAAGTGTTGCAATTATTCTTCAGACATACTACCCGTCTCCATGATTTAACAATCATTGCTTTGCTCTTGACCCTTTATTCCAGCAGCCAGCTAACATCTTGACAAAAATTCACGTCCACATATCCAAAAGCAAGCTCATCATCTTTCTCCGGGACTATTATGTAACGTATCTTTTGTTCTCCTATGAGTTTCTGTTACACTGTGTTTTATCTCTTGTGTTTGGTACATCCTACTTCCTTCATCTCCTCTGCAGGAAAACATGACCCTGAAAAGCAGGTACTGATTATTTATAAATCTTTGTAGGATCACATTGATAACAAGATTTTTTAAAAGTCCAACTTCTCACAGGTAAACCCATATTCTGACCCAGAGGAAGGGGGGCTCTCATCCTGGAGTGCAGATGCAACCTTCTCACTCACATTAAGGCTTCAAATAGGGCCTGGCACAGTGAGTGATCCTCCCACAGCTTTCCTCATCAGGACACACCTCTAGAAACAGTGGAATGTGGGTCTTTCATGCTAAACACAAGTTCTTCCCAGAGGGGCCGCTCCAAGGGAAAACAGAGTTCTACGTGAAATCAGACGGCAATTAAGTTTGTTTCTAATTTGAAACAAGAAAATTGGGGGCGACTCTTCACGTAGGTGCAACACAGAGGCCAGCTATACCTAGGTCGCCCATGATAATTGTGCCTTTAATAATAAAGATGTCAGCGGACATTGCCTTGCTAGACTCTGGTGTGGCCATGTGCTCTTTGAGCTATAGCTGTCGCCATGCTTCCTGGCTTTGACTTCCCTCCCCCACCTTGGGGAAGTGAATCTTCTTTCTCCTTTCTCTCTCCCTAACTTTTAAATAAACTTGTCTTTCTTAAACAAATAATAATAATAATAGTAATAATAAAGATGACCATCTAAATGATGAACTGTCCCTAAAATGGCCAATGGGATATTCCATCTACCTAGAAGGGATCAGGCTCTCTTAAATAGTGTTAGATTTTAAAGACACGTAATGAATGGCTCTGCCAATATATTAGATTCTCACCAACAGAGACACACTATATAGTTTGTCTTGCTGTCAAAAGTTTCCAAAAGAGAAACATCAGTGTAAATTAGCATGGTGGCCGTATATCCCCAATGCATGTTGTCCAGCACCAGCATACACCCCTCTGTGTACATCACCCAAATGCTTACATCAAACTCATTCAGAGCCGCAGCCAGCTCGCCAATGCCCGTGTGGCCTTTGGCTTCGTCGGTGGGCGAGGTAGCTTGAGCAGCATTGGAAATGCCAGCAATGGCCTCCTGGACTTGCTTGAACACATAATCTCGGTTGGCTCTTGTGGCGGCAACATCTGGGTGGCGGAGAAACGCTTGCGAGGCCGTGTACAGCATTGTGGCATTCTTCTTAAGAGCCCCTCGGGCGGCGGCCATCTCATCCCGACAGTGAGGGTCCTTCAGTTCCTGTGGGCACAACACATGAAACCTGTCACACGCGTGAAGTTTGCATGGAAGCATTTGCAACAGAACTTGGGAGTCACAGACTCTTATAAACATACTCAATTTTTAAAATCAATTACTTCCCCTTGTGCAGTTTCTACCTGCCAGGTCTTGGCATAAACTCTTCTTTCTTTTTTTTTAAATTATAAAGATGTGGGACACAATTCAGGGTTAGGTATACAAGTGCTGATTATGCAGGTACCCCTGTTGATGAGGTGTGAATCTCCCTCCCCGAGCAGCTTCCCTCAACTGCCAGTCCCACCCCCCTTCCCTGACAGTTTCCCCCTACTGCCAATCCCTTTCTTATAGCATTATAATTGTCCAAGGTCCGCTTATGGGTGAGAACATATGGTACTCTCTTCTTTGTTTCTCTGATAAATCACTGAGTATGATGGACTCCAAATCCATCCAAGTTGCTGCGAAGTCCATATGTTTGTCCTTCTTTATGGCTGCATAATATTCCATTGTGTATATTTACCACATTTTTTTAATCCAGTTCAGCTTCCATGGGCAACATGGTTGGTTCCATGTTTTTGCTATTGTGAATAGAACTGCAACAAATTTACATATATACTGTTCTTTCTACAGGAAATGTCTGAGCTTTCCACTTCCAACCTACCCTCTCACCTGATAGGACTCCACTTACCTGGTCCGTCCTCCACCCAACTCTCCAAGGTATGTCCTCTTCCATCTGTTCCTACATGACGCTATCCCGGTCCTCTTAGTAACACTCATCATACTATATTATACTATTTAAGCACGTTTCCCTTCTATACTGAACCACTAATGGCAGCAGGAAACTGTCTGTCCTGTTCAGTGGTTCTTTAGTCATTATCAAAGTGGCTGGCCCCTGAGAGTCATTCATAAATATGGCTGAAAGAATGCAAACCCAGGCCAACAACAATGTCAGCGTATTGCATGGATCAACAATTAGTTATCAACAGATGGAAAACCTGTACTTCAGTCTACTGAGGGCCTGCATGCCTCTGTATTCAATGACAATTACACAAACGAGGAACTAAACTTTTAATTTTTGCCTGGCACATCAATGCCACTTCATTATCATTATCAGAATAGGGTTCTTCTTTTGTTGTTGTTGACTGCCTCTGATGGCAGCTCATCTTCAAAGTTAGAGAACATAAAATTATAAGCCAAAGATGATTTGTTTTCCTTGTTTTGGATGTCACAAACAATGCCACATCTTAAGGTGTGTCGTTAAGAAAATGTTCACACCATTTTTAGGAATGTTAAAGGCAATTCGCTCTCTGAGAGTCCTGCAGGATTGTCAGCTGAATATCTCTGGGAGAATATTCTTTCAGCTTTAAAACATCAGTAAAGAGGATATTTGAACCACTGAGGTTCTCTTCCTATTTGCTCATTTAAGGCATAAGAGATGGATGACATGGCAATAATGCATTACATCTTCTGTTTTGTGGGTCAAAATAATTCTGAGGCAAGCACGTTATATTTGATACGTAAGATTGTCAAGATCAAGGGAGAATAAATAATAAACAATTAACTGAGTCGTCTATTTTCCTTTGCTTAAGGACAAAAAGTTTTATGTTAGTAGTCATGAAGGAGTCTATGAACAACCAGAACACCTGGTGCAGAGATTCCATTCTTGGGTTTTGTACAATAAAATAAAATAAAACATAAAAGAATCTAAATATAGAAGTGAGAAATGAGGGAGGGATTCTTGCCATGAAGGTATATAAAGAACATCCTCTAATCATAAGAAAAGAACTTGAAGCTACCTACATGTTGAATTATGAAGAACTTGTTAGGCAAACTAATAAAACATTCATTTGATGGACTGTTTATGTGGTTATTAAAATTAGTTTTTAAAAGTAATAACATGGTCAATATTTACAAGCCAAATAAAATAGTAGAACACATATGCATACTTGTATTCATAGTATGATTACAAATATCCTAAAATGTGAAAATAAATAACTGAAAGGTAATATATCAAAATATCAGCACTATTTTTTTGTGTGTGAGATAGGGTGCTATGTGCTTTTTTCCTCTTCTGTTCTACTGTTTTTCTAAATTTTCTTGAAAGAGCTAATTCCTTGTGCCCTGGGACATTAAAACTTAAAGTTCTTAGGCCTTTGGGCTCTAGGACTCACACCAACAGCGACCCAGAGCTCACTCTCTCCCTCTCCTTAGAGTAACTTTGCACCTACTCATATTACACTGTGGGCTACCATACAAGACTCGTTTTGAACAAAAAATTCTTCTAATAAATAGCATACTTAAAAATAATCACATAAACTAAAGTCACCCTTACGTTCCTGTCATCAATTGACCAGATCTTGGTTAAGTTCCTAATCCCAGCATCAATTAAGCCTGGCGTGGAGTAAATACTCGACAAATGTTTGTTGAATGGAACTTTCCTGTCCATCACAGAGAATGCTGGAAACTAGGAATTGCCCAGAATGTTGAGAATTCTGGGATCAGAGTCAAGAGGATGGGTGAAAGGATTTTAACAGACCCTTCCACATTTGGGGTTATTTTTATCTAGGGAGAAAGAAAAAGAACATAGTCTTTGCAAATAGAGCTGTTTATGCTTTCTTTCTCTCTTTCATAAAATATTCACTCTACATGTTACATATCCCAGGCGTGCACACGCATGGTGGCATCCACAAGGCTGGGAGATAAAAAGTGAGGGCAAAGGGTGATGTCCGGAGAGTGACCGCGGCACTACTCTACAGTTTAATTTTTTTGATTTGACCTGTAGCTATTTCCGCAGTGGACAGAAGGTTAGAGTGTGGGAGGGCGAGGTGGGCGGTTCCCACCAGCCTAGCAGGTGCTCTGTGGTCAACTGAGAGTACCCCAGAGTCCACTGTGGCATCGCCACCTCCAGCAGAACTCAGTCTTTGTGATTACAGGTTGCTAGGGCATTGGATAGCAAGCGGATGTAGTTGATCCACTGTTCAAGCCGACAAAATTACAATCTTATTTAAAATCACTCATTTTCCCTCCCCTAGCATTTGCAAAATCTTTCCCACCTGTTGTCTTCTCGCTGCTACATAGTTAAGTTTCACCATCTCCTTTCCAAACTCTTTAAAGCGGTTTGCAAGATCTTGCTCATTTGTGGCATTTTTGACAGCTTCCAAGGCCTCCTCCACCTGAAGTTGTAAAAAAAGAAACAACATATTTATAAGTGGGTAGTATTTAAATATTATTAAACATGTTAGAAAGGCAACCAGTATAAAAACTAGAAACATTAATGTGCTAACATTTGCATGAAATAATAGAAGAGTATCCATAACAATCATTTATATAATCAGATAATATATCTGTTCAAGATTTGCAGAATATTTTGTGCATAAAAGACAAAAATTGCCAAACTCTTAGAATATATGAAATCCTATATTGGCTGTACTTTATTTAATTATGATTTTGAAAACCTACAGATTTCTAATTTAAAATAGAAACACTAAGTAAAACATACTTAAGAAAAAATACACAATTTTAAAACAAATTCTAGAAGCCTTTAGAGGAGTCAGTGGTTCACAATTGAAAACTACAGAAACACTTGGGCTGCTGAAAATTTGAGAGCTTGAATCTGCAATCCATCTTGATAACATCTCTAAATCTGGGACTAAAGAGATTGTGATTTGAAGCTGAGTTTACACCTTGGCATCCAATAGAAAGAGGAAATATCGAGCCCCTAGGAAAGCAAGTGAATTTTTTTTTGTTGTCACTCAAAGGTGACATCATCTGGAGTGGAATGGAAATGAAAAGAATGACAGCAAGCACACTGCCCTACTGAAGTGCTGTTCTTCCAAACGTCTGCAAACTGTCTCACTGAACTTTTTCAGAGTAGCACTGGACCGGAAGTAGAAATTCCTTTAGTTAGGAGGCACTAATGTTTCCTCCCCTCTAAAATGATCTTAACTGCAGCGTGGTGTGAAAGGTTCCACAATTAGATACCTTTAAGATTATAATATCTGTGGGCTCAATTTCAAACTAAAATCAAAATATTGGAGTGAAGTCACTGTCATTCTTGGTGGAAATAATTTCAACAGCAGAAATAGACAAAAACACAGTCATGAGTGAGTAAGGCTCAAGACAGATGGGTTGTTGCAAAATCAAATATTCTTTTTTTTTTTTTTTTTGAGTTGGAGTCTCACTCTGTCGCCCAGACTGGAGTGCAGTGGCCGCTCCTGGCCACCACAGCCTCGATCTGCTGGGCTCCGGTGATCCTTCCGCCTCAGCCTTCCAAGTAGCTGGAATTACAGGCATGCGCTACCACGCCCAGCTGATTTTTTGAGTTATTGTAGAGATGAGGTCTCACCTGTCCAGACGGGTCTCGAACCCACGGTCTCAGGCAATCCACTCATCTCAGCCTCCCGAAGGCACGGGATTACAGGCTGAGCCACTGAGCCTGGCTGAAATCAAATATTCTTAAATGTGAAAGGAGTCTGGTAGAGAGTCCCCTGACTGGCACATGTTCCTCAGAGAAGCAGTAAGAAAGTGGAGAGAAGGCAGCTTTGAAAGAAAAGAATTGCTACAATAAAAACAAAAACGGACAAATAGGGCTTAATTAAACTCAAAAGCTTCTGAACGGCAAAAGAAATAATCAACAAAGTGAACAGAAAACCCATGGGATGAGATAAAATATTTGCAAATTATGTCTCAAAGGATTAATATGCAGAATCTACAAGAAATCCAAAAAATTCAACATGAAAAACACAAACAACCCTATCAAAAAGTGGGCAAAGCACATGAATAGACACTTCTCAACAACAAACATGAAAAAAACGCTCAACATCTCTACTCATAAGACAAATGCAAATTTAAACCACAATGAGATATCATCCTACACCAGTCAGAATGGTTATTATTAAAATATCAAAGAACAACAAATGTTGGCGTAGATGCAGAGAAAAGGGAATGCTATACACTATTGGTGGGATTGCCAACAAGGTAAACCTCTATGGAAAACAGCATGGAGAGTTCTCAAAGCACTAAAAATAGAACTACCATTCAGCCCAGCAATCTCACCACCAGGTATCGTCCAAAAGAAAAGAAATCAGTATATAAAAACAGAATCTGTACTTATATGTTCACTGCAGTGCTATCCATAACAGTAAAGTCATGGAACCAACCTAAGTGCTCAATAATTGACTGAGTAAAGAAAAGTGGTAGATATATATCGTGGAATGCTATTCAGCCATTAAAAAAAATAAAATCCTGGCCTTTGGAGAAACATGAGTAGAGCTGGAGAAAAGCATCTTAAGTGAACTAATTCAGAAACAGAAAACCAAACCTCATATGCTCGTACTTATAGTTATAAAGATGGAAATAATAGACATTGGGGACACTAAATAGAGGGAGATGTGGAAGGGGGTTAGGGCTCAGAAGTTACCTACCATGTTCCATGTTCATTGTCTGGGGAATGGGTAAGTTGAAGCCCAATTTGCACCAGTACACAATATGCCCATTTAGCAAATATGTATTTGTACCCCTTGAATCCAAAATGTTGAACGAAAGGAAGGAAGGAAGGAAGGAAGGAAGGAAGGAAGGAAGGAAGGAAGGAAGGAAGGAAGGAAGGAAGGAAGGAAGGAAGAAGGGAGGAGAAAGTAATAAGAAATGCAGAGAATATTTGAGCAAAATTCAGATTTGCTCTTGTAGTTTTTGACAAATTAAAGGAATACGGACACAGTTCATTGTTTGATAATTCAAAAACAAAATTGGCTACTAAAATGGTTGGAAATAGCCACAGATTTACTCAGATTTGAACTACAATGATCCACTTTTACTGAAGCTTGATGCAATCACGAACGTGGCTAATACAACTTCCTTATCAACTTTTACTGAGTGATGGAAGAGAATACGGTATCTAAACTAGTGATAATAGATATCATCAAGCCTCTTATCTCATATATATCATAAGACCATTTAATTTACCAAGTAGGCTAACTCATGTAAGTAAGGAAAGAGTTTTAGCAAACAAGGGAAGTTATTTTAAATGATGATGGGGGGTCGAGCTCGATTCCACGTAGTTTCCATTCACATCTTGTATAAAAAGTCTGCATTTCTTCCCCCAATTATAAATATATAAAATGATGATGTAACCCTTCAATGCAAGTTGTTTTCAATGCCTCACCAGACTGATATTTCTCAAGTAAAAGAAGGCAGCACAGTTGTAAAAGGGACAGTTGTGTGTTAGGAAGGTTTTTGGGCACTCAAATCACATTACATTTTTGGGTATGAAATGGCACATTTAAAACATTTTCAAAGTTTAATGAGAATCTCACACTTCAGATCTTTAAAATATCAAATCAGTGATCTCTTATGTTCTAATAAATTCATAATCACCTAACTTGGCTATCAACAGATCATCTAGAGGCAGTTCTTGGCAGTTAATTTGTTCCTGCTGCTTGTTTGAAATGTAAATCTTTTCTCAGGACATAAACATTGGTTCCAGAGAAGAGCAAAATAATTATCTCAGAGAAAGCTAAATTCAGAACTAGTTTTCTAATATATATAAAACAGGCTTTTTACCAGTTGTTAATCAGGCCAATTTGGAATATTTATTTTATTGCATTACACATAACTTACTTCCTCATTGGTTTTCTCTAAGAATTCAGATGCCAGTTTGAATTTATACTTATAATTCAATTAAGTGCTTTTAAAAGGAAGCACCAGCCGGGCTCAGTGGCTCAGCCTGTAATCCCGTGCCTTGGGAGGCCGAAGTGAGTGAATTGCCTGAGCCTGCGGGTTCGAGACCCACCTGAGCAACTTGGCGAGATCTCATCTCTACAATAAATCAAAAATTAGCCGGGCGTGTAGCACGCGCCTGTAGTTCCAGTTACTTGGAAGGCTGAGGCGGAAGTATTGCCGGAGCCCAGCAGGTCGACAGAGTGAGACTCCAACTCAAAAAAAAAAAGAAGCACCAATGATGGGATCTATCTGTGTAAAGTAGGCTTAGACACACTCGGAGCGTGAATCTAGAAAGATCTGAGAAGTCACCTAGTTAACAGTTGTCAAAAACAATCATGGCTCAGAATCTGTCCAAGATCCTACAGACATGAATGTCACGGGACCAAAGTCTGGACTACAGGCACACATCTCTTAGAAGAGAGACAGATGAGAGGTGGGAATGGATGGATGGATGGAGAGTCAGACACAACGTTGAAGGAGCAAAGAAAAAGAAGAAAAATGAGGTTCAGTGATCGGGCACTTTTGACAACCGGAAATTAATATAAAAAATCAAATTTTGATTTTTGAACACAGTCAATGATCTTTTGTTCTTTCTAGGAATCTGGAAGATATAAATGGGCTCTATGGGTCAAACAAATGTCTTGCTTTCAAATCTTAACAGGCCATTCAAGAGTGCAGGACTGCCAGCTGAGCAAAGAGTGGAGCTTTTATATAGAAGATGAGTCTAGGATACTTTATCCAAAGTACTCCTGTCTAGGCCCCATCAGAGAGGAAATAAGTCTGTGTGAGGAGGGATCAGGGTCTGGGTTTGAATCCCAGCTCTGTTATTGGTTAGCTCTGTGATCCGAGGCTGGCTATATAAACTCTCTGACCACAAGTGTCTTCATTAATAAAAAGAGGGTGAGGCCAGGTGCAGTGGATAATGCCTGTAATCCTAGGATTTGGGGAGGCTGAGGCAGTAGAATCGAGACCAGAATTTGAGACCACGCAGGGCAACATAGCAAGACCCTGTCTCTTCAAAAACTTTGAAGTTAACCAGGCATGGGGACACATGCCTATAGTCCCAGCTACTAGAGAGACAGGCAGGAAAACCTCTTGAGTTCAGGAGTTTTTTTGACTGCAGTGAGATATGATCATGACACTGCGCTCCAGCCTAGCAACAAAATGAGATTCTCTCTTTAAAATAATCTAAAATAAAGATAAAGTAGAATGAGGGCAATGGTGGCTACACATGATGCAAGGTTGTGAGAATTAAAGAAGATAAGAAATGCAAAATATTCAATGCTTAGCAAAGTGCCTGGCAAGAATCAGTAGTTCCGTGAATAGAGATATTGACCTGGGCCATAGAATCTCCCTTAGAGGGAAAAAGATTCCTCAACAACTTTGAAGAAGAAGGTCTTCATCTTACTCTTGAAATGTTTGCAGATAACAGGGACCGCGGGAGGGGTGGAAGGAA